AGAGCTTACAATTTAATTAAGTCGTCCGACTGAGATGGAGCTGAAATAGAAGATGATCCATCTTTTCAAGCAACTGTCGCGTAAGTTTCAATAACAGTACTCGCTATGCGAGCCTCGGGGACGGCAGGGGTCTTCCCGTGGGGATGGGAGAGGAGGGGGAGGGGTTATGCTGGTTCCGCGGACGCGGACCATGTAGTGCCTGCTTTGAGCGACTGGCGTGCGTGACTGGGTGGGCGGCTCTGACGAAAGGAAAAGGCGCACCCTGGGGAGCGAGTTGGCACCGTCGGCACACGGTCCGTCTCGCCGCCTCCACGCCCCTTTAAAAATAAATAAGAGAGAGTGAAAGCAAAAATAAAATATACGCACTAGGTATGAAAAATACGGCTGTATTGGAGAGAGGCGCGCCGAGAAAAATGAATAAGGCTTGGGGGACGAAGACGAAACCTTTCGGTGCGGAGGTGAAGTCTCCTCTCCTTTCTATTGTATAATTGTTTTCTAAATAAAGCTCTTTTGGCTAATTAATTAATAACAAACTGCCTGTTGCGGAGGAACATCACAGAGCTGTTTGAGGATAAACATAGTCCCTACTCGTGGTGCGTAAATAAATTTTGTGCATTTTCGCAGAAAATATACTTGTAAACGGTTTAGTAATACTTGGAAAAAGTTAAGTAGAATTGAAGAATATCTTATTATCAATTGACAATGTACACATTATCAGCACAAAACCTTAGATGTTAGTCGTTTTTTGGCAAATTTTATAGTAAAAGATTTTGAGTGTACCGGGTGTAACTGAGAATGCGCAACAGTGTTGCGGGTTTGCCTACCCAGTTAGCCCGTAAGGCGCCATGGCCCCTGCAGCCCTGGCGGGTATGCAATCCCGCAACACTGTTGCGCATTCTCAGTTACACCCGGTACATCGTATTTCTGACTCCACTCTCTCCATGGACGTGGCTTCAGTAAAACACCTCAGGGCAGGATATGGGTCCCGCCCGGGGTGCCGGCGCGTGACGCAGCGCTCGCGATCAATATCCGCCGTGAAACGAAAAGGCGATGCATTTTTGGAAATGGGATGGAGAGGTTATCGCGGGGTTTGACCCGAGGGAAAGATCACAATGATGTCCCCGCGATGACAGACGTCTTTCTCACTGCCTCTCTGTGGAAAGCTAATATTAGGGTTCGTGGACCCGAATCTTTTCTTCGCACCACAATATTGCTCTCTTGACGAATCTCCCCGCCTCCCCCCCCCCTCTCTCTCTCTTTTAACCCTTTCTTTTTCTCCAACCCGCTCCACACCAGTACGACCCTCCCCCCCCCCTCCCCCCTTTCCACTTGCAACCACTCCCACTCCCCTCTCATCACACTTTTTTGCACGACGCGAGCTGGATTTATGGGACAAAAGTTTCCATTTTCATCCAGTGTGCCAGCCCTCCCTTTTCCACCCTCAACCTCAAGCACCCCTCCCGTGTGCCTCCACCTCCGGTTCCAGATCGCCTCGCAATACCGAACCGCAGGTCCTTCCCCAGCCTCCAGCCGCGTTGCGACGGGAGGCGTCGGGGCCCGGCCTGGCCGAGGCCCAGGACTCAATAGGCGGCCCACCGCAACACCAGCCGCCACCAGCCGCACCAGCACCAGCCAGCCACCGAGCTTCCACGACTTAACCCCCCCCC